ATTCAAGAATGAAATAAAATATAGAATGTTTTCATTTGTTGATTTGTCATACAGATTGGTTTGTTTACCTCCCAAAAAAGGGAGGCAATTTGTTTACAGCTAACATAAATGCAGCCTTTACAATGTTTTTTAGTTGTCTTGTCAGAAAGATCGAAAATGTTTAATGATTGATAATATTTTTAATTGTTTAACTAAATGAGTTAGTTTTATACTTTATTAGAAACTGGTGGAAGCTTTGAATATGTTTGGTCAAAAACAACAGATAAATCCTGGGGATGGGGGATGAAGCTTTCTATGTTTATAGATGTATACCATTGTGAATTTATAATTTCATTGCTATCACAATTTATAGTTTAATGTAAAAATTTTTGATGCTATGAGACAGTGTCATCAATGTGCAACAATTGAACTGGATTTCTAATTTCCTAAGAGATTCAACCTCACTTACGCTAGGTTAGTTTTGCCAGTAAGCTTTTTGCTGAATAACCTCACTACGGTCTTGATACTTAATTCATTTAACCAACAGTGGCATGATTATTTGTTTCTATAGAAACCTATTGTTATATATTTATATGCTATATATACTATATACTTATATGCAGCCTGCTACATTGCTGAACACTGAAAGTCCCACCTGTATTCAAACTCGCCACAAACAAACCCACCCGCATATAAGTATATGTATATGTAAGCCTGTGTATTATAGTCAGAGGATTATGGTACAGTTTAAGTTTCCATGAAATTGTAGATCTTTACAAAATGTAACAATTTAGTAATTTATCAATATTCTATTACTCTATTGACAGTGATGAAGGAGATGAAAAATTACATCCTGTTATATTCATCAAGCTATTCTAGGTTCAGTTGAAAAATGATTGCTATTCTTGCTGAAAGCTTTGGTGGAAAATGGTGAGTGTTTTCTTGGCTCATGCCAGAGCTTAAAGCAAATGAAATGTCCTTAAAATTTTAAATTAAAATGGTACAAAGTTTCATAATTGTTTGGAAATTTTATCATTTTTACGTTACTTTATTTTAAAATTTTGACTCACTGCATTTTCTGTTATTTTCTAGGATTTTATGGCTTTCTCCCCGACAAGTTGTAGTAAATCCTGTCAGTAGTAAATATAATGATTATTCCAAGCAGGTAAATTTAATTTAGTAAGCCTTAGATCAAACTTGCACAAGCTAATGCAAATTCAGCTATGGACAAATTGTTGCTATTTTATGAATTGGATTTTTTTTGTCCTTTTTTTTATTGACATTTTGGTCATGTTTAGATTCAAAGCTCCATGCCGCTGGTTATCGCGTTGATACAGACTTGGATCACGGATCAACACTAAATAAGAAAGTTCGAAATGCACAACTTTCACAGTACAACCTCATTCCTGGTATGAATTAAAGTCTTTTTAAACTATTTTTTAATTACTGTACAAATAAATAGAAATTAAAAAGGTTTGAAACCACTGTTGGTGTTCAGAGTTTTCTGACGTTTCCACAACATTAGTCAGGTTCGCCGTATTTGTTCCTAGACGTCATGACAGAGGAGATATGTGGATGTTTAGTTGTGTGGTATACTTATTAATTGTTCGCTTGTAAGCCGTTTATAAGGTGCTGATATTTGTATTCTGTTCAATGATTTTTGTTAGTTTGTTAACCTACTTTATAAGTCGTTGTCTATAGTCAGTTGCTGCTTAAATGTTGTGCATTGTGATGCTCACTTGTCAGTACTTGTTGTTCTTGGTAGTCAGTTGATGCGCGAGTTGTAAAATGTAAGGTATTATCATTTGAACAAAAAGGGCTATAACCAACAACTACAAACAATAACGACCTTATCTAACAACATTTGAAATTAACCTTCCACTCCTCTTCCTTGAAACCAGACAAGTCTACTCAAAAGCAGAGAGCCTTATACGCTGGGTCGGGCTTGTGACCGGTATAGTATATTATATAGTATATTATTATATAGTATACTTATAAGTATAATAAGTATACTTATATTATGTATATGTATAAGTATGTATGTATAAGTATATGTATTATACTTATACATATTAAGGATGCTTTCACTGAGAGGGCAATGATGTATTGTCTAACATTAACACCGGATTATGTTACTGATATTTAATATGGAATTCGAGCTTTGTCCATATGAACTGTTCAACATGCTTCAAACAAAAATAAGCAGGAATATTCAGTTGATTAATCTATGATAAACCTTTCACCTTTTAACTCTGCTATACCGGTCTGAAGCCCGGGACTTGTAGTATAAGGCTCTCTGCTTTGAGTAGCTTGTCTGGTTTTACAGGAAGAGGTGGAAGGTTAATTTCTCAAATGTTGTTAGATAAGGTCGTTATTCTTTGTAGTTGTTGGTTATAGCGCTGTGCTATCATTCTTTTTGTTTAATAACATTCCAACTATTTAACCTTGATATTATCATTTGCTCTTGTTGGATTGTTTGTTTGTATTTTGTTTGTTTGTTTGTTTTGTGTTCATTATTGTCTTTTTAAGTGTTGTCTATTTTAAAGCAAAATTGATGGTTAAATGATTTCATGTTGTTTTAAACAGTTGTTGGTGAAAAAGATACGGTCTCAGAACACGGTCAACGTCAGAACATGACAACAAAGTACTCAGTGAAAAGTCGGTCATGGCCATGATCGAACGCTTGCAATTTAGTCAGCTCACGAAGTCTGACAAGCAAAGATTTTTGAAATAAAACAACATTTTTATGGTAAAGATAAAATAAATTTACTCGCGAAAATAAATTTGAATGTAAATCCCATGATGCGTCGCAATTATAGAAAAATAGGTACGCGTACATGCTACTGGTCACTGGCAGACTGGCGGCAGTGGTCACTGGTACTTTATCAGTGGTCACTGGTACTTTATCAGTTGCGGTAATATTGATTTTATCGTGATGGTAAATTCTTCCATTCGTAATTTATGGCGATAACCATCAGCAACTTTTCAACTATTTACCATCAAGTTTTCACTCAAACGAGATCGCTTCTCTTTCATATTTTGGCTTGTTTCTTGAGCTAGTAGGAGGCTGTGTGCGTTGATACAAATCTGTTGAAAATTGATGAATTATACAATGACCAATCATGTAACTACGCGAAGTTCTTAAATTCATTAATAATGAATATTTTTGAAGATTTGTTGAAAAAAGTAGAGTTGCCATATTGAATAATTCCGACGAGCTCACGATCGGAAATTATCGTCGTGACGTCCTAATTCTTTCTCAAAATCGAGATAGTTTTCCCGCGTCGTTCAGGCCAGAATGGGAACTTCTTCACTATATCTCTGTAAAGAAACGACAATTTTAGTGTTGAAATATATGTTGTTTGTGTCTCATTTAGTTTTAAATACGGCTAACCTATCTACTACTTGACGTACCAAAAGGTTTCTTTTATGTCGTCCCTAAAAGCTAGCGGAAAAGCAGAATTCGGAAGCCGACAAAGATAGTTGTGCTCGACTTCGACAAAGATATTTGTGTTCGACTTCGACCAAGATACTTGTGTTCGACTTCGACCAAGATACTTGTGCTCGACTTCGACAAAGATGGTGTGCGTTTGATAAAGACGAAAGCAAGAGGTGAATAATTTTTCTTAACACTTATCAAAAATAAGTTTTAGCTTTGCTATGTTTAAGGCTATTTTGTATTTCGAGAAACGACATTCTTGGGTTAAAATCGAAAGGGAATATTGTTTTGTCCAAGACAAAGAACGTCACAAACTTGCGACAGCAGCATTTGCATACTTTTCTAAGATTGACGATGAACTGCTTGCATGAACAATCCCTATGCGCATATTAGCAATCAAACATCACTTGTGCAAACAATAAAACTGTTTTGTTCATTAAAAAGAACAATTGTCAGTTTAAGGATTACACTATACCAGTGGCGTGCGGTCATGCAAGCGTAGGCAAGCGCCGCTTGCCTAAGCATTTTACCGAACAAAAATTTTTTGGATCAATCTCTGAGCAAAATCAGTTTAAATTTTTCTGTTCTAAACAATGTCAATGTAATCTTTTGTCTAAATTGTCTTTACAGTTGAAATGCTTGCTATTTATACGCGATTTACTGTCGTGGTTTTCGGTTTCACTTTGCTACACTTGTAAGATGAGTCAAGTGTATTAAATTAAGTGGATAAATTAATTATTTATTAACCAAGGCAAGCGCGCTTGCCTTCGGAGCTCAATTTGAACATTTGCGCATGCGTTAATCTAGATTTGGAGGCTTCTTATTCGAGGAATATCGAGAAAAGGCAAGCGGCGCTTCTAAGGGCGCCGCTTGATAGCGATTGGTCAACAGTCTTGTACGCTCGCAATTTTAAACACATATCAGCGCACGAATAATATTCGTATATTCAACACATTGGACATCCGAATTATTCACGCCGTTAATGTTATCGTTTATTAAAAGATGACTGAGAGCGAAAGGTAATGTTCTGATTTCTAATTCAAAGTAGTAGTAGATTTCTAATTTATGTATGTAGAAGATATTATCTGTAGCATGTTATACTTTAGCGTTATATAAGTCTTGCGTATGAGCTCTGAACGTGATTTCAATGTACTAGAACGCTATTAAATTTTGTGATTATTTTATTCACTAGCAAAGAAGTTATTTACAACAGTCGTGAGTATTCTATATGTTAGAATTTATTTACAGGCTTTTATATATTTTGATAAACAAGGTGCAGTTATTACACAGCGGATAATGTACTTGAAATTTGAGTAGTTTTACGTAATTATAAAGTTAAGTGCGTAAGTTTAAGTAGCGCGTTTGAGTAAGTGTAGGATTGGCTATTTCCTCTATTGCTAATACATGAATCTAGATGAGTAATGTACGCACGTTATGTACGTCACTACAAGATATCATGTAACTGATGTAAGGTATAAATAAGATTGATGTTCCTATAAAATATATAGCATAGGAATTTTCATCCTTTTATGTTCTACTTCTACAATTCGGTATTTTCACGACACCTGTACAACATGACTGAATGCATTGTGGAATCACTGTTATCCCGCTCATTTGGATTGAGACCTTTTCCGAGAAACGAGAGATCGTCGAAGGTGGCCGTCCCACTCCTGAGTTGCAAGGACTACATACAACATCCAAGCGAAGTGGTAAAGTCTTTATTCGAAGTTTTCAGACGTCAAATTACGACAAGTACAAATGGCTGGCTGGCTCCTCAAAATTGAATAAGTTATTTTGCTGGCCGTGTCTTTTGTTCAACTCAACAGACAAGACAGTCTGGTGCAAGAAGGGATACGATGATTTGGCCAACCTGTGTAATGCCGTCAACAGACACGAGAAAACGAAGACACACTTGTCCAGTTGCCTAATGAATGCCAGTTTTGGGCGTACACGCATCGACATGCAGCTAGACGAACAGGCCCGTCAACACATCTCAGCTCACAACTTGATGGTGCACAAGAATAGAGAAGTACTTCGCCGTTTCATTGATGTTGTTTGCTTTCTTGGCAAACAGGAACTTTCTTTCAGAGGTCGGGTGGAGCTGGAGGAGTCTGCCAACAGGGGCAATTACGTCGAATTGATAAAACTGCTAAGTGCATATGACCCCACGCTTGAACAGCATCTTCATACAGCAACCGTGTTTTCTGGACTTTCTAATCGTATCCAGAACGATTTGATTGTTGCTGTCAAGGACGTTATGTTGAAAGCAATAAAAGATGAAGTGATGAGGAGCCCATTTGTCGCTATTTCCCTGGATGAAACCTCCGACGTTAAGACCTTATCGCAGCTAACAACTATAGTTCGCTATGTCAACCCAGATGGTAAAGCTGTGGAGCGCTTTCTTGGATTTACCGATGTAAGTGAGGATAGAACTGCGGCTAGACTGAAACAAGAAGTCGGTAAAACCCTGAACGAGTACGGATGCGGCGAAAACTGATTGCCCAAACGTATGACGGTGCGAGTGTGATGTCAGGAGAACTGTCCGGTTTGCAAACACGAGTAAGAGACTATCCACATGCTCTTTTTATCCACTGTTGCGGACACGCATTAAATTTGGTCCTTGTTCAAGCTGTCTCGTCAACTAAAGAGTGTCGTATATTTTTTAAAACCGTCACTGGTCTTTCATCCTTTTTTCACGCCTCGTCCAAGAGAACATACCTGTTGGACACAGTTGTCGGCAGACGCATTCCCACTGGAACAGCTGTTCGATGGCACTATCAGAGCAGGTTAATCCATGCTGTACTGGAGACAAGAGCAAAGCTGCTCGAAGTTTTCGAATACATCATCGAAAATGATGACGAGTTTGACGGTACGACGTTAAACGAAGCGAGGGCTACCGACAAGTTCTTGCAGATTTCCAGTTTGTGTTCTGCCTTAAAATATTTTCAGAAATATTTGGTCTTACGGATGTTTTGTATAATATCATTCAGAGTAAGCAGTTCGATATTGTCTTCTGTGTCACGAAAGTTCGCGAGACGAAAGATAAGATTCAAGAACAACGAACAAAATTCGTAGATTATTGGAATTTTACGTCAAGTATCGTCAAAGTAGCACTGAAACGCGGGCAAAGTGAAGAGGATGTAAAGGCGTCCTTCCGTCAAATGTTTTTCTGTGTAGTCGATACCATTGTCGTGCAGATTGACTCTAGATTCGAAAGTCTTAACAGCAGAGCATTCGTTTCTTTGTTGGATCATTCAAAGCACGAATTGTACAGCCGGAATTTTCCCGAACGAGAGCTGCAATCGTTGCAAGATTCATATGGAACATTCTTTAATCTTCAAGCACTAAAAGTGAACTAATCGTTGTATACGCATCTGCCGAGCTCAAATCGAAACCTGTTTTGATATGATATCAAAATAATCGAACTTGACTTGAAAGCCTGTTTTCCAGAGGTGTACCGATTGTGTCAGCTCATTCTTACTATGCCAAGTACGTCCTCCTCTGCAGAAAGATCATTTTCGGCTCTCAAGCGTATCAAAACGTATCTTCGCAGTACACAAGGGCAAGAGCGACTTTCTGCATTGGCTACAATTTCAATAGAGAAGGAGATGTTGGTAAGTTTGCAGGGGAAGCCACGATTCTATGAGGACGTTATAAAGGAGTTTTGCGCAAAGGAAAGACGAATGGAATTTACATTTAAGTAAAACTGTTGTAGGATTTTGGACTATTTCGTTCTGTTACTTCTTCACTACAATAGAAATGCACGCGTAGCCATTTACTTAAAACGACTTTATATCACAATACCACATGTAATACTTTTAAACCGTAATTGTGATATATACTCTATAAAAGTTTTTGAATTTTTTAGATTTTTTCAATACTGTTTCAGTCATGACAGATACATTTTTTCGACAAAGTACTCCCAGAAATCGCGGGAAATGCGCTTCAGTAGCCTTCAAAATCCAAAAATTTTCTGGGGGAGCATGCCCTCAGAACCCCTAGATAGCTTCGCGGCATGCCGCGAAACTCACCCCCAGCGCTTACCTATTAAATTCGGTCACCGCACGCCACTGCACTATACCGGATTCGCTCAACACGACATCTTCATTTGCTTTCAAGGGTTAACTGTTCGGAGTAAAAGCTTATTAAGCTGATGGATTTAGTCTATTTGATTGTGTTTCTGACGTTGAACAATTTCACTGCCTTTTAATACAAAGAATATTCAACCTGCTACGATAGCAATGTAATCCGGTATAGTGTAAACGGAGCCTCAATCATTTTATAGCAAGAATATGTAAATGTTGACTGAAATGTATAAAAAAACGCGACTTCGGGCAAGGATGTATTTGGGAAGCGATGTTAGCGATCAAAAATGGACTGGAGGCATGAGTATATAAAAGACAGCTACCTTCACGTAGTAGACTGACTTTGGTGGTGAATTATTCTGGAAATCTAAAAGCTATTGAATTTCATTGTGAAAAGTTGAAAACTATCTTTATATCATTAGAGTTCTATCAGGATTTTTAAACAACAAATAGTTGCTTTACGTATGTTTTGTCGACGAACGTCTAGATGCTGGATGCTATAGATTGCAAATATCTGGGAAAATCTTGATAATGAGAATTTCATAGCGACGTATGCACGTGATAAAACCTATAAAGAAAAACTTTGCTATGCTGAGGAAGGTAAAGATATTTTACTCCCAGAATTACTATATATTCTTCAAAAAAGTAGTTCATACTACAACGATGAAAAATATAAAGCGTCGTATTTAACGCAAACCTTGGTTAAACCAGGTTTAGTTGACACATATTACTTGCTTGTATAATGTCCAAATGGACATGTTTTGATTCCTTCATTTGGTAAAATATTATCGCAGTGGGCCAAGATCGTCCCTCGTTTCGACAGTCATTTGCTATTCGTACTGGAGCTCTAGAATTTTACTGTTTTTAGTAGTAAATGTGACAAATTTTTCATTCGTTTTCTTGTTATTGTGTAATAATTAACATAGCAAAACAAAGAGTAGCTATATAAATGTAATTTTCCTGCCACACTTACAAACATTTCATATTCCAGCTGCAAGACCCGTAACAGACTGTGACAAATGTTTGTTTGGTGAAAAAATATTAACATATCTTGTCGAGTCTCCATTTGTGAATATCCATTTGAGAAATGGTTGCAAAAATATGGACTACAAGATTACAAGAATAAAATGCGGATTGGAAACGAAAGATTAGAATACACATTGAACTTCAAAAACAAAGGAACTAGGCTTTATAATGTGGCTACAATTGACTACAGTTCATACATTGGTTCAATGGTTAGGGTATGGATTAGGGTCAGGGTTAGATTATGTTTAGTTTAAGAGTTAAGGTTAGGGTTAGAATTGTTTAAAAGTTTCTTATAAACGTAGAATTAGTCAAACTTATCTACACTTTCTTATGCCCCTCGTAATATCCGTGATAATGTTAAAGATGTTTTTATTTCTCTTCATAACTTTGTGTCTGCATATTTTCTACATAAACAAACTGCTTTAATATTTATGACAGATATTATAATTCGTAGATCGAGGTAGAAGAACTGCTTGAAAATGAAACTTCCAACATTGAAACAAAATCAAGCATGGCAGAAGAGAAACAACGACGCTAGGTTAAAGATAGCTTGATGAAATTGAACGTAGTTGAAGCACCTAGCATACGCTCGAGAGTTTTGGATAAACACTTGTCAACCTCTGAAAACTCGAATGATTCCAAGCATGTTTACGACATAAAGGCTCCTGTGAGGTACCCTGTTGCGGCATATCGAAACAACGATAAATATTGGGGGTTTTTTTAATTATCGGTTTAGCGATATTGGTTTTCGGTTGGAGTTGGACGGGCGGGGAAGAATCAAATTCACCCCCTGAAAATGTATTTTATGATACTTCAAAATTTTCATCAAAAAAAAACAATTTATCATTTTGAACAGATTTTCCTCAACAATTGGCACAACTTTACAAAAATAGGAATTCCACCCCCTGAAAATGAATTTTATTATATTTCTAAATTTTCATCAAAAGACTATAATTTATGTATTTGAACTCATTTTCCACAACAAAAAGAACTTTTACAAAAATAAGAATTCCACCCCAAAATGAATTTCATCATATTTCAAAATTTTTATCAAAAGACTATAATTTATGCTTTGAACAGGTTTTCCACAACAAAAACAACTTTTAAAAATATAGGATTCCACCCTGAAATGAATTTTCTTATATTTCAAAATTTTTATCAAATACTACAATTTATGCATTTGAACAGGTTTTCCACAACAAAAAGAACTTTTAAAAATATAGGATTCCACCATCCCCCCCTGAAAATGAATTTTATCTTACTTTAAACTTTCCATTAAAAGACTATAATTTATGCTTTTGAACAGATTTTCCACAACAAAAAGAACTTTTACAAAAATAGGAATTCACTCACCCTGAAAATGAATTTTATTATAATTCCACACTTTTATCAAAACACAATAGTTTATGCCTTTGAACACGTTTTCCACACTAAAAAGTACTTTTACAAAAAAAGGGATTACATCCCCCCCCGGAATATTAATTGTATCATTTTTCAAACTTTTCATAAAAAGACTATAATTTATGCATTTGAACAGATTTTCCACATCAAAAAGATCTTTTATAAAAATAAGAATTCCACCCCCCCTAAAAATGAATATAATCATATTTCAAAATTTTTATCAAAAAACTACAATTTATGCATTTGAACAGGTTTTCCAAAAAAAAGAACTTTTACAAAAATAAGAATTCCACTCCTCTGAAAATAAATTTTATCATACTTCAAAATTTTTTTATATTTTCACCATCATGAGTTGAACATTTGAGTTACCTTGCATGAGTCATTTTTACATAAAATATGTTCCTTAACAATTTTGGTTCATCATTGTTATTGTTTTCTTGTTATTGATTTTATTTAGTATTTGGTAATATTGCAACTAAAATATTAACTCGTTTCAGTCTCCGCTTGCTGAAATCAAGATGGCTTCTAACCTTGAACATTTCAAACGGTTAGCACTATTTTCCACCCAGCAAACCGCCTTTACTTTGAAATATAATATTTTACACAATCGGAAATAAATTAAAGATGGCGGCTAATGGGAAAGAACCAAAAGCTAAAAGGAAACCATGCATGCACTGGTGCTAGGTCGTTTTGAGATGGCGAGTAATTTTATATTTTTATAATACAGTTTTTAATATCAACGTATGAAAATATTTACAGATAAATATTGCAGTATAAATTTTCATGCAACCACCTTAAGTTATAAACTTATAATCCAGGCTGGAAAATATGTCGTTATTCGACGATTGTGTAAAATATTATATAAAATATTATATTGTGTAAAATATTAGATTGTGTAAAATATTATATTGTGTAAAATATTATATTTCAAAGTAAAGGGCAGTTTGCTGGGTGGAAAATAGTGCTAACCATTTCAAACATTACAACTCAATGGTTGCAACCAATGAACTATTTAATCAAGTTACATTTGTTTCATCGTGTGCAATTCCTCTTTATGGATATCAAAGGTATAGACAGTTATTCAAGAATGAAATAAAATATAGAATATTTTCATTTGTTGATTTGTCATACAGATTGGTTTGTTTACCTCCCTAAAAAGGGAGGCAATTTGTTTACAGCGAACATAAATGCAGCCTTTACAATGTTTTTTAGTTGTCTTGTCATAAATATCGAAAATGTTTAATGATTGATAATATTTTTAATTGTTTAACTAAATGAGTTTGTTTTATGCTTCATTAGAAACTGATGGAAGCTTTGAATAATTTTTGTCAAAAACGGCAGATAAATCCTGGGTATGGGGGATTAAGCTTTCTATGTTTACAGATGTATACCATTGTGAATTTATAATTTCATTGCTATCACAATTTATAGATTAATATAAAAATTTTTGATGCTATGAGATGGTCTCATCAATGTGCAACAATTGAACTGGATTTCCAACTTCCTGAGAGATTCAACCTCACGCTAGGTAAGTTTTGCCAGTAAGCTTTTCGTTGAATAACCTCACTACGGTCTTGATACTTAATTTATTTAACCAACAGTGACATGATTATTTGCTTCTATAGAAACCTATTGTTATATATTTATGCTTATATACTATATACTTATATACAGCCTGCTACATTGCTGAACACTGAAAGTCCCACCTGCATTCAAACTCGCCCGCAAACAAACCCCACCCGCATATAAGTATATATTTTACATTTAATATTGCAATGTTAACAGATAGTACAATATAATAGTTAATAACCATGCATGTATCCTGTGCATCCATCCCCAATAAATATCATTGATAATGGCTCACAAACATACGTAAGCCTGTGTATTATAGTAAGAGGATTACGGCATAGTTTAAGTTTCATGAAATTGAATCTTTACAAATTGTAACAATTTAGTAATTTATCAATAATATTCTTACTCTATTGACAGTGGTGAAGGAGATAAAAATTACATCCTGTTATATTCATCGAGCTATCGTAGGTTCAGTTGAAAAATGATTGCTATTCTTGCTGAAAGCTTTGGTGGAAAATGGTGAGTGTTTTCTTGGCTCATGCAGAGCAAAACAAATGAAATGTCCTTAAAATGTTAAATTAAAATGATACAAAGTTTCTTAATTGTTTGGAAATTTTTATCATTTTTACTCTACTTTATTTCAAAATTTTTGACGCACTGCATTTTCTGTTATTTTCTAGAAGTTTTATGGCTTTCTCCCCATCAAGTTGTAGTAATTCTGTGTAGTAAATATGATAATTATACCGACAGGTAAATTTAATTTGGTAAGCCTTAGATCAGACTTGCACAGGCTAATGCAAACTCAATATGGACAAATTGTTGCTATTTTTAATTGGAATTTTTGTCCTTTTTTTTTTTTATTGACATTTTGGTCATGTTTAGATTCAAAAGAAGTTAAATACAGCTGGTTATCATTGTTTGATACAGACTTGGATCACGGATCAACACTAAATAAGAAAGTTGGCAATGCACAACTTTCACAGTACAACTTCATTCTTGGTATTAATAAGTCCTTTTAAATTATACACATTTACTGTACGAATAAATAGAAATTAAAATGGTTTGGAACCACTGTTGGTGTTCAGAGAATTTACTGACGTTTCCACAACATTAGTCAGGTTCGCCGTATTTGTTCTCTAGACGTCATGACAGAGAGGGAAAATATGTGGATGTTTTAGTTTGTGTGGTATACTTATTAATTGTTCGCTTGTAAGCCGTTTATAAGGTGCTGATATTTGTATTCTGTTCAATGATTTTTGTTTTGAGCTTGTTAACCTGCTTTCTAACGTAAGTCGTTGTCTATAGTCAGTGCTGCTTGTAATGTTGTGCATTGTGATGCTCACTTGTCATTACTTATTGTTCTTGGTAGTCAGTTGATGCGCGAGTTGTAAAATGTAAGGTATTATCATTTGCTCTTGTTGGATTGTTTGTTGTTTGTATTTTTGTTTGTTTGTTTTGTGTTCATTGTCTTTTTAAGTGTTGTCTATTTTAAAAAGAAAATAAGATGGTTAAATGATTTCATGTTGTTTTTTAAACAGTTGTTGGTGAAAAAGAGACGGTCTCAGACACGGTCAACGTCAGAACACATGACAACAAAGTACTCGGTGAAAAGTCGGTCATGGCCATGATCGAACGCTTGCGAGATTTAGTCAGCTCACGAAGTCTGACAAGCGAAGATTTTTTAAATAAAACAACATTTTTATGGTAAAGATAAAATGAATTTACTTGCAAAAATAAATTTAAATGTAAGTCCCATGATGCGTCGCAATTATAGAAAAATAGGTACGCGTACATGCTACTGGTCACTGGCAGACTGGCGGCAGTGGACACTGGTACTTTATCAGTGGTCACTGGTACTTTATCAGTGGTGGTAATATTGATTTTATCTTGGTGGTAAATTCTTCCATTCGTAATTTATGGCGATAACCATCAGCAACTTTTCAACTTTTTACCATCAGTTTTTTTTTTTTCACTCAAACGAGATCGCTTCCTTTCATATTTTAGCTTTTCTTGAGCTAGTAGGAGGCTGTATGCGTTGATACAAATCTGTTGAAAATTGATGGAGTGTAATGACCAATCATGTAACTAGGCGAAGTTCTTAAATTCATTAATAATGAATATTTTTGAAGATTTGTTGAAAAAAAGTAGAGTTGCCATATTGAATA